TGTGTGTGTGTGTGTGTCTGAGCTCAGCTGCTGGAACCAAACAGAGCAGAAGAACAGAATAGATCTAGAGCAGATTATAATAGAACTAGAACGAAATAAAATAGAAGCAAACAGAAGATTAAAATAGGACAACCAATTCAATGAGGACCTTCAGAGACCTTTTACAGCACCTGGACTTTATTTATTGGCTGTATATTGATCCAATTCATCTATATATATGAGAAGAAATATACTACTAACCCTGTATGATTACTATCACTGACTGTGTTTACATTCACAAAATATTCCGTTTTTTGCATCTTAATCCGAAAAAGACAATATTCCTACCAAGCTGTTTAATAAAACTAGATATTCCACTACTTAAGGATACACGATTATTATCTGTGAAGATAAATTCTAGCCGATAAATTAGCGGTTGATATTAATTATAATTTATTTGGAAATGCAGAATGATTGATTGATTTCACTGAAAGCTAAATGTTTGTTTGATGAACTCGAAACAAATAATTGAACATCCGAAGAGTCGGAACTGTTTGTTTGTTTCTGTTGTGTTAAAACTGATGTCAGTTAGATTTAGTTTGAACAGAGCTATGAAATATTAAAGCACCCGTCTCTGCTCGCTACATCTCTGCCTTTCTTTACCCTCTAAAAGCTACAGGTCAGGAACTTGCTTTTAAAACACAGAAATACGATATTATGGCTGCAAAAAGAAACCATATTGTGCATCTCTACCGCTAATATTCCCGTTTACATGCAGCTGTGCAAACTAATTAACTGCTTTGCATCAAGGCTGTCACAATACCAGAATTTTAAACTTCACTACAATACTGCTATAAAAAAGGAATATCAATCTGTCCTTCGATACCATGGAAAAAGGAAATTAAAGGTCTTAGGCACACAAAATGAAATAAATAATTAACCTGCACACAGGTACTTTGGATACTACTGAACAATAGTATCGTATTGGTTTAAACATGGTGGTATTCAAAGTATTGATACCTTTAACAACCTTACTTTGCATCAAACAAGGATTTTTCCACTGGTGGCGAGCACAGCCTCTCTTTCATTCGTACGAATTCAAAAACCTGTTGATATCTGGAGTCTTTCATAATGTTTAAAAGTAGCCGTGTTTCTCCTTCTGACCAGAAATAAAGACTTTCTTTTGTGCAAACTCACAAACGGAGACACATACTCCGATTACTCTGTTTAAATGTCCAAAGAATGCTCCTAAAACCTGAATAAAATCAGCATATCCTAGATTTTCTAATTGGAAATACTGAATAATTACAGTTTTTATGTTGCAGTGGATTCTGGGAGGTCGTTTAAAAGTTGCTTTTACGTGTTCGAGCTGTAAAACTGAGGACGGTTTGTGTTTGAACCATTACCACGTTTCCCTCTGTCTAATTTTCCAGCGACATCCATCATCTCATTAAAAACTCGTATCTAATCAGATCTCTGCACACAAATTAACATGACGTCATGGTTCGTAGTTTAGCTCCGCCTCTGCTGTCTCATCTGTGCGATGACATCACCAGGGGGTCTCCCGGCGGACTGCAGAGATTGGTGCAGACGTGGATAGACCACTGTGTTCTCCACAGGGATTGGTTGCTGTACTGGTGAGGTCACCTCTCTCTGGCAGTAGTTATTCATGAGAACAGGCTGACTTGACGGATCTCTCAGACAGCAGCAGCATTAGAGAGCACATCAGGCAGATAACCGGCCAGTAAAAGTCAGTCAGAGCTTTGTTAGATGTTAACCAGTAGCATCATGTGAAGCTTACAGGCTGTTGAGGCCAGAAAACAATGACTGGAATGATTACAGAAGGTTTAAATGAGTTAGCATTTCAGCTTTGAGATGTATTTTTGTGGTGGAAGCTCTGCAATGTCAGATGATGATGGTGAGTACAGATGCATTATGTAGTTATTATGTAGTGTAGTTTCAGTCTGTTGCAGTTTGTCTGTGAATTAAATCTCTGCGATGGTTTAATTACAGCTTCAGTACCAGTTTCAGGAACTGGTTGAGGTTTGGAGCCAGTTGGAAACCTTGGTAAAACATCTTAACCAGTAGAAAGAACTGGAAGAAGTCCAGAACTTCAGAACGTCCAGATTAGATGAACTGGTTGAGCTTCAGAACTAGTTAAGAGAAACTAGTCAAGCTTCTAAACCAGTAAGAGGAACTAGTAGAGCTACAAAACCGTTCGGGGGGATCTGGTTGAGCTTCAGAAAAAGTCAGAGGAACTGGTAAATGTCTGGAACCAGTTGGAAGAAGTGTTGGGACGCTTCATAGCAACATATAGAAACTGGTGAAGTTTCAGAACCAGTAAGAGAGACTGGTAGAGCTTCAGTACTGGTTAGAAAACTGGTGAAGGCCTGGGTCCAGCTTAAAGAAATTGTGTAGCTTTAAAATTTGAAAGAGCTTCAGAACCAGTTAGATGAACTGGTAGAGCTTTGCATCTATTTGGAGAAATTGGTAAAGTACCACTTTGAGGAAGCGATGCGTTCCAGAGCAACATACAGGAACCAGTAGCACTTCAAAACCAATTAAAGGAGCTGGTAGAAGTTTCGAGCAAGTCATAGTAATGTTTGTGTTTCTTTGTGTTTCAGATGAGGGGCCGTACACCAAACACTCTGCCGGGTCGCGACCTCCAGATGGAGCGCTGGCCATCAGGAGGCAGAGTATACCAGGTAACGCACAAAACCCACAATTATTCTGCTTTTATGGTCTCTGTGAGCTATCCTTTGTTACCTGTTCTCTTCTGGTTCTGCTCTGTGCGAAGCCACCAGCAGAACTAATAAGCACCCCGACGAAGGTAACAGCTCTGAAAATAGAACACACACAAACAGTTAGCTGATGTTTTCTATCCGTGTGACCTGCAGGAAGATGCTTGCAGTTGCAGTTTATCTCCTCCCACCTGGAGCTGGTGGCCTACTTGCAACTTCCTATCCGAACACTGCAATCAGAATCTTCAGATATTTCTGTGACAACAAATGAACATTAAATATCAGAGACCTGGAACAGCTGTCAAAACAATGTAATTGATAGTAGAGAGCTGTTAGAGCGAGGGACAACCTTCCAGCTCGCTGTTTCTCCAGTGATTAAATGAGAATACGAGGCACAGGTCCAACCGATAAGATCTTTCTTTGGAATTATTTTAAAGAACAGGTTGAGGTTCGGAGGAGTTTATATGGAACTGTAAACCTTCAGGAAGAGCTGATAAACGATGCAGTGGAGCACCAAACGGTTTAAAAGAAACTAGTAAAGGTTTTGAAATAGTTAAAGGAACAGATGGAGCTTTAAAACCAACTAGAGGTTCTGGTGGAGATACAAATCCAGTTGATGGAGCTTTAAAGCCACTTAAAGAAACTGGGAAATCTGAACTGCTCCAGCTTCTGAACAAGTTGGGGGAACTGGCAGAGGTTCTGAACTAGTTACGGGGCTGTTAGAGTCGTTGAACCACTCAGAGGAACTGGTGGAACATCAAAAACCATTTAGAAGAACTGGTAAATGTTCAGAACTGGATAGATTACTTGGTACTAAAGAGCTGTAAAACCAGTAAAAGGAACTAATAGTGCTTCGGAACCACTCAACCGGTAGAGCCCTGATCCGCTTACTGGAACTAGTGGAGCTTCATAACCCAGAGCAACTGGTACAGGGTTGGAACCAGTCAGATAAACTGGTTGAACTTAAGAAACCAGTAGATGCTGAAAGTCGTGGATTTGGTGGATTTTCAGAACCATTTAGAGGATTTATTGAACCCTCAGAACCAGTTAGTGGAATTGGTTGCGCCATTGAGATAAAATGATAAAGGCTTAAAACTAGTTAGAGGAACTGGTTGAGCTTAAGAACCAGTTACAAGAGTTGGTAGAACTCCAGAACCAGTCACAGGAAGTGGTGGAGCCACGAAGCTACGTACGTAAACTGGTAAAGCTTTAAACCATTTAGTTTAACTGGTAGAGCTTCAGAACCATGTCAACAAACTCGAAACCACCACTAACCGTCCTCATTGTAGGATTTTACTTGTAGACTCTGCTGCAGACACTCTTCTTATTCAGGCTGAGAATAAATCTGAACTAGTGAAGCTGTAACAAACCGTTTTCCTCTGAGAGAAGCTTTCGTTGTAATTCTTTTAGTGTGAAGTTAACCGTTTGTGAAGTAACGCTTTCAAAAGTTTTTCCCCCGCCGCTGCAGGAAACTGGTTCGTCTAACATTTGATCAGAGCGGCAGATTTTGGGGTTTCCTTTTTCAGACTGTGAGTCAGAGCTGATGTTTTAGGAAAGTTGCTCTCACTCCTTGTAAAGCCTCTTTGGAGGAAGAAGATGGGGGAGGAGAAAAAGACAATGATGGTCACTGCCAAAGATCAGATGTCTAAATCCTGTCTGAATGAAAGAGGGCCAAGCTCTGCCTGATTAATATTAAAATATAATATTTTAATGAAATCCTGCTTCCTGTTTTATCACCTGAGCACCGCTCACATCAGATTATACCAGGTCTGCTCTAAAATATGTCCCTCTCTCTCTATCCATCTCTCCTGCTGTTAAATATTTCAGGCCTTTGATGAAATATAAATGGCCGACAGAATAGAAGATGACTTCACTTCTCTTCTTTTCCAGATTATTATTTTATTTCTCCGTGCTGAGAGAGAGAGTTAAGGGAGTAAACTGTGAAGTCAGCGTGCAGCGACAGAAAAGAGGGAGAAACTGAATAAATAAAGCCTGAGGAAATAAAAGAGTTTAATTGTGCAGTAAAATAATTTTACGGGAGGGAAAGTGTTCAACCAATCACCTGTTCTTGGTGCGATGTAGACGAGTTTCGGGGCTGCTCGGTGGTGGAGCTGATGAAGAAGGAGGGGACGACGCTCGGACTGACGGTTTCAGGCGGCATCGACAAAGATGGGAAGCCCCGGGTTTCTAACCTGCGACAGGGAGGCATCGCTGCCAGGTAACACATCACTCTGTTTATCTTTCTAATCTTTTCATCTTTAGTATTTTTCTGTTTTCTATTCTGTTCTGTTCGACTCCAGTAGACACGTTTGGAAATACAATGAGACTGAATGACATTTTAAAATCATATTAAATGTGTTTTAATGGGTTTTCAAGTTCTGATGGAGAGTTATTGTGACTGTAATCATAAATCACATACATCCACTACATATATGTTATTAAAGGGACAATTCACCTGAAAATGGTGCATTGATTATCTTGGAGATATTGGCAGTAGAGTCTGCGTTCTCTCTAATATAATGAAACTAGATGTGGTGCTCAAAGTGCCCCAAAAAAATACATTTGAATAACTCAACGACAAAGTCTCGGTCCAGAAATTATATTATCCAAAGTGGACCGAAACAAAATAAAACAGTTCCAACAGTAAATCCTGAATTTACAGACGTTGAGGAGAAGCAACTCAGGCCATAATGTTCTAAATCTTTAACCTTTAACTTGAGTTAACGTAATCTACTCTGTGGAATCAGTTCAGGCTAACTGAAGTCAGGCATTTCCCTACTCCACTATCACAAATGTAACTTCATCAAAGTGAAATCGGAGCAAACGTTCTGACTGTTTGTGCAGGAGCGACCAGCTGAACGTGGGCGACTACATCCGCGCCGTTAACGGCATCAACTTGGCCAAGTTCAGACACGACGAAATCATCAGTCTGCTGAAGAACGTCGGGGAACGAGTCGTGCTGGAGGTCGAGTACGAACTACCGCCTGTCTGTAAGTGCTGCCAGAAGTAGTGGGACATTGGTACATTAGGAGTATATTTATAAAGCTGCAGGAGGTCAGAGGTGATGTTTATGTGTTGGTGTTCTGGTGTGTTGCAGCGGTGCAGGGGTCAGGGGTCATGTTTAAGAACCTAGAAGTCACACTTCACAAAGAAGGAAACAGTTTCGGCTTCGTCATCAGAGGTGAGTAGAGCTCGGTGTGTTTTGTGTGTGTGTGTGTGTGTAGGTGTGTGTGCGTATTAAAAATAAATGCATGACATGACTGTGTTTGCAGGTGGGGCCCATGAAGACAGGAACAAGTCTCGCCCTATCGTCATAACAACCATCAGGCCAGGCGGTCCCGCTGACAGGTGAGTGACCTCCGCCTGTCTTTGTGATGTTTTTGTCCCTCGAGAGCCTCTGTAGAAACCGTCCTCTCTCTCTCTTTCTCTCTCTCCAGAGAAGGAACCGTCAAGCCGGGCGATCGGTTGCTAAGCATTGATGGGATTCGTCTCCACGGCAGCACGCTATCAGAGGCCATGAGCATCCTGAAGCAGTGCGGGCAGGAAGCCACGCTGCTGATCGAGTACGACGTCTCAGTGATGGGTCAGTTTAAACTCTCTATTACTATTTTAGTGGTTAATACTCCCATTAATATTAATATTGGAGCATAAGTTCTAACTAGACCTAAAACAATTTCCTGAAATGAATCAGCAGCTATTTTAATAATCAATCAATTGTAAAAATGCCAAACATTTGATGATTCCAGTTTTTTTAATGTGAGGTTTTGCTGCTTCTCTTTGTCTTTTATTATAGTAAATTAAATATATTTGCATTTTGAACTCATATTGAACAAAAAAAAGCTATTTGAAGACGTGTCACATTGTGCCCCAGAAAGTTAATTTATCTCTATTTTCTGATGTTCTATAGACCAAACAATTAATAGTTTAATAGACAGACTAATCAGTTTAATTGCTGATGAAAATACTCCAAGCTACTAACTAATTCACACTCCACTTCACTACTCCAGTCAGTAACAGACTTGATTGGAGTAGATTATTTCTTGTTTATTAATTTTAACAAAATGAAGATTTTTTATTGTACAATAAATTGTGTAGTAGTAAATCAGTCAAATTTGTATTGAGGCATTAAGAATTACTAAATAGAAATAGTCAATGATGTCGCTGAGGGTGTTTATGTAGGTTATAAAGAGGCATCTGTATTAAAGTGAGCTGTTGAATTGAATTTAAAACAAACTTTAAAAGATTTAAAATAAAATGTGACACATTTTGAGGTAATTCTGATTCAAAAATGAAAACAAAGACAAAATAAAAGGCGTAAACACAACATTGGAAGGCAACAGATGAGCACTAATTATAGAAAAAACTCAGTTTTGTGGTCGAGTTAAAGAAGGTTTTGAGACATCCAGGCATTAATCTACTGTAATTAATGCACAAAAGTCATCAAAATAAAGTTGAGGATCGTCTGCATAATAATGATTCAGAATATTAGTAATGTGAATAATAAGACCTGGAGGAATGACATGTAGAGATTAAATGAAACAGGACTAAGAAGTGAACCCTGTGGAACCCCTTTATGAAGTCTCGTACTGTAAAATACAAGAAAATTATTTTATAAAACAACCAATTTGTGTGTCCGTGTTGCCCCTCTGTCAGATTCAGTTGCCACGGCGTCAGGACCGCTGCTGGTGGAGGTTGCCAAGGCGACGGGTTCCAGTCTGGGCGTGGCTTTGTCCACCTCCATGTTCTGCAACAAGCAGGTTATCATCATCGACAAGGTCAAACCAGCCAGCATAGCAGACAGGTACCTGACCTCTGACCCCAAACCAGGGAGAGACTCAACTTTTTATCCCCCGATACTCCGAGTACCAGTCGTCTTTTTTATTTTTTAACTGCTGATGTGTGATTTGTGTATTGTGTGTGTGTGTGTATTGTGTGTGTGTAGGTGTGGCGCTCTTCATGCAGGTGATCACATTCTGTCTGTTGATGGGAAGTCGATGGAGTTTTGTTCTCTGGCTGAAGCCACTCAGCTGCTTTCTGCCTCCTGTCAGACCGTCCGCATGGAGATCCTGCCTCAACACCAGGCCCGACCGGCCCTGAACGCACCACAGCACGGTATAAACACACACATACATAACAGGGCCGACAGGCCCTGAACGCACCACAGCACTGTATAAACACACCAGAGTTATTATAGTTTTGCATTTTTCATTATTTCATTTTATTTATTTATTTATTTTTACATTTTTGTTTTCAGTTCAGTTAGTTTCACTCAGTTTCTAGAGCGGGTTTGCTTATTTTAGTTCAGTTTATGTTGTTTAAAAATGTTTAGTTTTAGTTTAGTTTCAAAATTTCAAATTCAAAAGTTCAGAATAGCTGTTACAATTCAAAAATTGACTCATAGTCATCTTCACATCCCAGTCTCAATAAACGTATGCTCCAACGCCTCCTCATGCTTGTGTCTGACTGGTTCTGTAGTTAGTACACAATATTGTTTCAGGTCGTTTTAGTTTTTTCTAAGTCTACTTTCTATCTATTTATAATAACCTTCAAACACACACAGCAGGCCCAACCAGCCCTGAACGCACCACAACATCGTTCCCTTTATTAAAACGCACACTAGTGGATCATCAGGCACAATTTTACTGTTTTTAAAATGTTATTTTTATAGTATTTTATATCACAAATACAAACAACGTACAGAAGAGGATTCAGATCATAATATATCCCGTGGGCTTCGATGAATGCCTCGAGAGGAGAGGGTGAACCACCGCGGTAAAACATACAAATGCATGATTTAATAAAAATGAATAACATACTATAAAAGATTACATAATTAATATGTAATCTTTTATAAAGCTGTGACACAGGCAGCTACCTTACCCTGACTCTGACCTTTCTTCCTGTCCTAACCCAAACACCCTCCTCTGTGTGTGTGTGTGTGTGTGTGTGTGTGTGTGTGTGTGCGTGCAGTCAAGGTGCAGCGTAGTCCCCGCCCCCTCCCCTGGGAGCCGGAGCTCTCGCACATTCTCGTCCTACTACACATACCAACCTACACAATCAGCTGCCAGATCGCACAACCGCCTACAAACAACCCCTCTCTCCAGTT